TTTTTTATTTATTTTGATTGATTAATTGAATTAATTTGCTCTGTTTTAGGGGGTCGTGCCAGGATCTCGATTTCGGGGGGGGGGGTCGTACCTTCTGCGACCACGTACTCGACACGATTTTCACCCTGCCCCCACTCCCTGCCCAAATTCGTTAGCTGAATGGCCCCGCTCCACCCTTTCCCTTCCCTCTTCTAATAGTTGATGGTGTCGATGGTGTAATTGAGCAAGATTCATCTACACCAACCTTTTTTCCAACATTTTTTTTAGTATTTTTTCGTCTCTCCGGCCACGGGCGACCTTGCCATCTTTACTAGTGGCGCTTCTTTCGAGTGAGAGTGTTATCGATAAGATGTAGTGCTACCAGACAGCCCTTTCTACGAGAATTTTGCGATGCGTCCCTGAGATAGAAGTAACTTACCAAGCTTTCGAAGCATAGGAGCGAGTTTATCAATTTTCTTGAGGAAATCGCTGGTGTAGCAACCGAACCATGACGTTAATGCCTTATCGTTAACTTTTTCTTTTACTTGCGAGGTAGAAAACTCATTTCTGTAATGAATCGTATACTGTGAAACTTTTAATTAGATGTTTACCGGTGGTCACTCACGGATTTAGGCGGATTTTGTCACCGATTTTGTCCTGATGATTCAAAATATCGTCAGACCACGGCACGTCAAGAAAATGCAGTACTCGACGGGCCTCATCAGATGGTCGTTGTACAAGTCGTTCATAGTAAACCTAGGTGAATAGAAGTAAAGGAGGAGATTCTGTAGCAGTATTGTTTTACTGTCATGGAATGAATCAATTCTCAGTAGGAGAAACTTTGGTGTGATCTTCACGTTGTAGTATTGGCTGCTCTATTTCGCAGCCCCTTCCCTCCCTGGTACAAGCCTCATCTTGAAGTTCCCTTTAGACGTGCAAGACGAGCAGTGATGAAGAATGTGTGTAAAGCTTGCGATAGAATGATACGTGAAGTGGTCGGACAATTTCTAACCGTTTTACGCTCACGACTTGCGGTTGGAACCGTGAGGCATTTCCATGCGCATTCGCCCTATAGACTGAGTCATAGAGGCAAAATCCCCTCATTAAAGGCAAAAGTCGGGCTCAATAAGGGGGTATTATGGCGATTGAAACTGAGTATAGAGATGCGAAGTGGAACGACAGTGGAGAAAAAACTGAGAAAAACCGTCGACAAGGCCGTTAACAAAACCCTCTTTCCCACTAGCAGTGAAGGAGGCTGGCTTGGGAAAGAGGCACGTACAAACAAGTTTTCTGGAACTGCCACGCCGCCGGGGCTTAACGACGTTTTTCAAGGTGGAAAGTTGCTGCAATGTGTGCAGCTACGCTGCTTTATAGTGATAAAATACGTGAATTTAAAGGAATCTTGCGCGGAAAATTCTTGCACTCTTTCCTAACATGAATATGTCAGTTGTGATCACTGGAAATAGCACACAAAGTTTCACGCATGAAGATTCGGTTTCTGAAGAGAAACAAACGTACAAAAACTACACGTTATGGACCATCGAAGGACCAGGAGGCAGAGCCAGGCGAGGCATGGAAAGAAGACGGCGTTTGGCCGGCTACGTACCAGGCGACGCAATGAGAGAATCGGGTTAAAGCGCGCGATTTCGGAGAGTGGAGACAAATCGATCGATGGAATAGGATGGAGTAGAAGTGTAAGATGTGAATGCAACGAAGCAGAAGGCCAGAAAGAGCTTCTAGTGAATGCACTCCAAGAACCAAGTTTGAGCATCCCCGTCGCCAGCATTCGTGAAAGACGTCCGTGGGCAATTCGAACGCGTAGCAGCCTTTTCGAGTTTTCGAATTTCTAATCAAAACGAAAGCAATACTTCAGTTCTTTTCACTATTATCGTGGATAATGAGTCTCAAGCCAGTGATTTATGGCTGAAATAGAATCATGATTTTTCCGCGCAAGATTCCTTTAAGTTTCACAAGAATGCTGGGTTGTGAACAAAACTTTCGCCCCAGGCGGGACTAGAACCCGCACCTCTCGCTTTCCGGGCAAGTGCGCTACCAGTTACGCTACCGGGGCACCATTTCATTCCAACTCAGCTTTTCATGGTATACGTACCATAGCTTTTCAGCACTCACACGTATAACGTGTTGTCAACCCAACATTCATGGGCATTCTCTTCACAAGGCGAAGCAGCGATCAAAACAGCAGTTAACAAACAATAACTATATGAGTGTTTTATTAACTGAAACGAACCATAAGGCACAGTCCTTTCATACTGGAGCAGGCAGACACCATTCCACTGATCAACGAGTTCCATGACATGAACATGCCCTGAAGAAAGTAAAGATTTGAACCAAATAAGTTTTCAATATTTCTAGAATTTTTATGAGGAAACAGAATGGTGTTTATGTGAAATTATTTCTTGAAAACTGCCCATCCTAAATAAACCGGGTAGGGTAGTGGCGCAGCGGTTCTAAACCATGAATCGTACCTTTGTGGGTGACGGGTTCAATTTCGCACATCTCAACCTGGTCATGCTGTTCCTCTAACAGCCCAGTTAATATACTGTAAAAAAGATCAAAGGATTGCGTCGTTGACACCTTGAAAATAGCGCAACTCTACGGCGGGTCACAGCTACGTCACCCCATTTTTTTCTCCAATGCACGATTGCTCCACGTATTTCTGCAGCTACTCCCCACGCCATACAATCATTAACTCAAAAAGTAAATATAAACACAAACAAAATAGATAAATAAGTAAGAGTAGTAGAAGAAAATAAAAAGTTGCAGTGATTGACTGAAACAACTACAGCAAAGATAGTTTAGGCCTACACTGCAGCGAAAGTCAGTAAAATTTGCTCTTTATCACTGTCACACGTCTTTTTGGTTCTATACTGTCAAACCACTGGATATCTTCATCGCGTCTGAAAAATAAGATCTCTCAAATCATTTTGTGCAATTTGTTTTTTTTTGTGTACTGTTCGAGTAAATTCCACGGATGTCGGCCGCGCTTCTTCCACGCGGTCAAAAAAAGAAAAAAAAACAGAATACGCGATGTCATTAGCATGTTCACTTCTGGACCAGGGTCAAGCGAACCGTCGAGGAAAATTTGGAAATACGACCCCCCCCTCCCTCTCCCCAGAGGCCGAAGTCCATGAAACAACCCTCTTCAAAAGCCGAACTATGAAAAGGTTGTTTAATTCTCCCCAAAACTGCTCATAAAAAAGCCCTGACCCTAATCCCCCATCGTCCAATAAAAAAACTCAACAAAAAAGTATAACTCTATGATCTCACTCCAAATCGAGCTAAATAAAACGAGCAAAAAAACGACAAACATTTAGTGAAACCAAAAAATGCATACTATGCACTCTCTCTTATTATTTCCTATCGCGAAGAATACCTAATTTGTAACACAACAGAGCATGTTTCTCAATTTACACACCCCAGCTTCGGCCGAAAGGAGCCTTCGTAAACCGTCCCTGAATGGTAGACTTTTGCGTTGGCCTTGGAGCAACTTATCTACCTTGAAATTTGAACAAATATTCAAATAATTATAACTTCTTTCAAATATGACGAATTTCCAATCTGAAAGCAGATTTGGAAGTTAAAAGCTCTTTCTAATCAGTACTGAAATTATAAAAATTTATGAGAAATAACAAATTTAGATCAGTTAACGAGGAAAATTTATGTGAGCCGCGAAGTTTTATACGCTTTGCAAAGCCATAACTTGCTTCATTCATTTAAAACTGGAAGATTTTCTCTACGAAACTACACGAAAGCAGCTTCATACGTCCAGTACTCAAAAAATGGCCACGTTGAGGATTTTTGCAAAATTAACGAGGAAAATTCGTGATGAGTGCGAGTTTTTACGCTTTCCAAAGCCATAACTCCGTTCAAACTCATCCAATCTGAAAAGTTAATACGTCATCATAAACTAGAAGATTTGCTCTATTCAAATGGTTACTAGAACTGCTAAACGTTCCACTATTTCAAGAATGCCACTCGAGGATTTTTGCCCATAACCCGCCGAAAATGTAACATACTCCTCGCTGCATGGAATATTCAACGACTAGCTCCTTTCAGGGCGATTACATACTGAAGTAGGAGCAGATTCGGAATCCTCGTGCTTTTCTCTCTGCAAAAGTGTAAAATTGTTTAGCGGGTCTCAACTTTAAAGGTTACATGCTTGTGAATTTGACGCTGAAGGCTGCGTTTCTTGTTGAATAGTGTACTCCTCTCTGTAATTTAACATGAACCCTTTCAGAATCCTCTTGATTCCTGAATTGAGATTCTTTCTCCAGAGAGCCGTAGTTACCAGCACGCGCAGCTGACTGGGCCCACTCTGGGATGCGCCGTGTGCTTCACATCCCTTCAGATTTGAGGACTCACTTGAAAGATAAAATATCCCTTGGAAAACGTGCGAATTTCGGATTCTTTAACTTGTGTGGTGATAAAACACTGAAGTAACTAAGAATTGCTAAGCGGACACCTCTGAATCACGAAGATTTTGTGTGGGCGGAATCACATTGTTATTGGAAATCCTCTGGCCTGGCATCGATCGATCCTTGATGTTTGTCCTCCGACGGTGATGATCCTACTGCATCAATCGGCCCGATCTCTTCCCCAGCGGGCCAATACGACCCCCCCCCTCTGTGACGTGTCGAGGATTCCTCAACGCACGCTTGACCCTGCTTCTGGTTCAGAATAAGCCTCCTAGTGGACCATTTATGCATTCACATGCCTTAATGATTTGAAATCTATATCAATCTGGACAAAACGCGAAACGCAGCCTAAGTCTGAGTTCTTTTGCCACGTCTCCTAGATCACAAAACGGAAAACATTCACATTTTGCACCGTCAGGCACCGTGAGCAGTTGAGTAAATACAATTATACAAGCAAATATGCGTAGACTGAAAGCCAAAGACATGTGAGTCGGCATCGGACAGTTTCGACTACAAAACTTCCCGCTGATATGTCAGGAATATTGGAAAAGAGCCCAATGGGGAATTGTTGTACAAGGTTCATTGTTTATCCGAAGTTGGGATAACTGCAAAAGCTCAAATGTTCCCTCTTTATAAGCATGTGTGCGTCTGTGTGACCGCATCGATTTCATCTTAAGAGTTTTGTATCAAATTTTCATTACTATCACAGCTGGTCTTTGTTTGAGACACAAAGAGTGCAAATTAAAATAGTTCCGCTCCACTGAGCATACTTGAGATGGCATTTTTATATGCGGCGCGTGCGACGTTGTTCAATGAGTTTGCCAGTCTTTCGCTGTTTTTGGGGCGCTAGTGATAGGATGAGGCAGATAATTTGAGGTGAAAGTTGGTACCTTACACAACTGAATCCTGAATAGACAGGTGGGGGCGGAGGAGCAAAAAGAAATTATTTGCCCATGGCGCCATCACCAAACTTTCGTCGCATAATGGTGCAGTTGTTAAAAAAACCATTCGAGAAATCCTAGACGGTTCGTTCGCCAGGATTTTTTACTGCCTTAGTCACGGTCTCCTGCATGGACACTTACTCTCGCCACGCGCGAGCCATCTGTGCTCTTCTCGCGTACATTCACTCTCGACACTATTCTTACACAGTACAGAGGCATGGTCGAGGAGTTTCCTCGACCGTTATGTTGCCGCTGCTGGATTGGGATGGTTGACGGAGAATATCTCTAGTTGTCATTCAGAAGGCGGAAGTAGACCTCTTTCACTGTCCTCATCATATTCGCTATAGGACATCATCACAGACGAGCTCAAGGAGGCGTACTGTATTCGCTCCACTTTAAAGCTGCTCATATCTCTGTCAGCCCTCATTTGTAGGTGGCTTCTTATACACAGTACATATCTCTGAATATGCAAGACCGTCAACGGCGCGTCAACGATCTCTCTTTGAGCTCATGTGACATGTTCCGGAAGGAAAATCTTCTGATGTCGGGACACATGAAGTTTTTCAGTAGAATGGAACGTTCTTCATTTCCAGTTGTGATCATTCTGTTCAAATTTAGCAAAGTGTAATTAAATCCGTTCTAAATGTGAATGAGAGTGACTCTTTTTTTGCTCGCTCCCCCCCTCACCCCTGTGTAAGTTTTCTTTTCAGACGATAGGTTATAAAATGAAAGTTCCATATTCAAAAGTGTGACCTTACCCTGTGGGATGAATCTTTTTTGGGCCGCCAATAGTCGCCTTATATTTTCCAAGCTGACATAATACGGCATACGAGTTTTTCGCGATGAGTCGAGCGCTGCAAGTTGCTAGATGGACAGGCAAATACCCGTTTTTAAAAACATAGCCCTTTTAAACATACCCCCTTTCTATGGTAGCATTAGGAAACTTCGGCATGTGATTCATTTTATGAATGTAAGAAAAAAGTTATCAAAAAATATTATCTGCTGTGTGCTGTGACATTTACGACAACCGGGTCTATACCAGTTAGGGGGGGGGCATGCGGTCAGAGCGCTCTCGTTAACTTGGACACCGCAATGGCGCATAGCTGTTCGCTAGTTGTCAGGTTCAGGTGACTAACCAGGAAGGTCTTTCAGGACATGGAGCCCTTTTTGAAAACGGTTTTTTGCATGATAAAGGGGCACATGCATGGAGTACAAAACTAGGCTCCATTTTTTCTGAGCGGCCCTCTGAATGCCAAAAAAGGAGTGAAAAAAATTTCTTCAGAAATCGGAGTTTTCACACCTTCAACGTGGTTTATATCACTCGTTATGTTAAGTGGACGCACAATAGAAGGTTTTCTTCACCTGAACGTTGAAAACAGCGTGGAATAAAGCCAATACCAAAAATTGTATATAATAAGTGCTCAAAAGCACAAGGAAGTTTCATCAGAGTCGTTGACATTCATTGTACAGCGGTGGTCGGATGGTCGAGTGGATAGCGTGATGGACTCTGGTTGGCACGGGTTTGTTCGAGGTTGTTGGTTCGGTTCCCCTCCATGCTCGGATTTTTGCATTTTTCCGATTATCACTTTTTTGCATTTACATGTGCTTGCGCGTGAACTTAAGCCCTATAGGTGTCATTTCCAAGAACTTTCTCCCACAATTCTGCGATATTTCGTAGTACCATGTTTTTCAGTTGTGCACGAAATTCCGTTTACAAGCACTAAATAACTATATGCAGTTATGGTAAAGCCCAATGAAGCATCTGAATCACAGGCGCAGACCACTACAACTGCATCTAACGAACGCCAGAAAAGTGAAGTTGTCATTTTCTTCGCAAGGAACACCTACTCCATTTCCCTTGAAGGCAGATTGCCGGCGTTGAGGAACGTCCAGGATGCTCGTCGACGTAGCCAGTGCCCACCCAGGCATACGCCATGCATCGACGA